AAAATTAACTGAGCCTCTGGGGCCTGTCTACCATATCAAAGATCTAACATTTGTATCATTGGAGTCCTAGACAGAGGAAAGAAAGACGTTGGTACAGAAACATAAATGTGAAGAAATAATGGCTAAAAACTTCCTAGAGGTAGTAAAAAACCAAAAATTTACAGATTAAAAAACTGAGCAAATCCCGAACAGTATAATCTCAAAGAAAATCATGCCCATATCCAGCCATGTTATAATAAAATTGCTTAAAACCAAAGATAAAACAATATCTTGCAAGCGGAGAAAAATGATATATTACATACAAGGGAACAATGATTCAAATAACTGCCTATTTCTCATCAGAAAACATAGAGGTTGGAAGACAGAAGACAGTGCTGAGAAAAAAAGAACTTAACTGAGGACTCTGAATCCACAATCATTCCTGAGGACTTTGGCATTCCTTTCACAGTAATAGATAAAAGAAGTAGACAAAAATCAGCAAGGCTATAGAAGACCGGAAAAACAATGTCAACCAACTTGACCTAATTAGCATTTATAGAACACTTGACCCAACAACAGCAGAACACACATTCTTTTCAAGTGCACATGGAACATTCACCAAGATAGACCATTTCCTGGGTCATAAAGCAAACCTTAACAAATTTAAAAGAATTAGAATTATATAGAGTATGTTCTCTGTCCATAATGGAATTAAACTACAAGTCAGTGACAGAAAAATACATGGAAAGTTCCCGAATATTTGGAAATTAACCCAATTCCAGCCACCCAGAGTTAAAGAGGATGTCTCAAGGAAAATTAGGAAATATTTTGAGCTGAAAGAAAATCAAAATATAGCATATCAAAAATTGAGGAAGGCAGCTAAAGCCATATGGAGAGGGAAATGTATAGCATTGAGTGATTAAATTAGAAAGCAAAGGATGACTTTAAATCAAGAACTAAGCTTCCACCTTAAGAAACGAAACAAAGAGGAGCGAACTAAACCCAAAGCAATCAGAAGGAAATAATGAGTAGAAATCAGTGAAATTGAAAACAAACACAATAGAGATCAATGAAACCAATAGATACTTATTTGAAAAGGTCAACAAAACTTATACATTTCTAAAGAGACTAATTAAAAGAGAGAGAGAGAGAGAGGAAAGTGATTACCAATATAAGAAACAGAAGAGAATACCAGTACAGACTCCTTAGAGCCTGTAAAAGCCTATAAAAGCATAATAAATACTACGAACAACTCTTTGCCTATAAGTTTGACAATGAAATGGATCAATTCCCTGGGGAAAAAAGAAAACAAGCTACCAAAACTTATTTAAGCAGAAAGAGATAACATAAATAGTCCTGAATTTATTGGATAAACTTAATTCATAGTAAGGTCTTCCAACAAAGAAAGCTACAGGCACAGAAGATTTCATGGTGAATTCTATCAAACATTTAAGGAAAAAATAAATCCAATTCCACACAATTCACCCAGAGAATTTAAAAGGAGAAAACACTTCCCAACTAATTTTAGAAGTCTATCAATATCCTGATATCAAAACCATAAAAATACAGTATAAGAAAACTGGAGACCAATAGATGGAAAATCCTCAAAGTAATTTTAGCAAATTGAATCCGGCTATACATAAAAAGATAATACTTTAAAACTAACTGAGGTTTATCCCAGGAATACAAGGTTGGTTCAATATTCAAAAATTAGCAAAGTAATCCACCATAATAACAGACAGGGGAAACAAACATATGATCATATTAATAAATACAGAAATAACATTTGACAAAATTCAAGAGCCATTCATGTTAAAATAATTCTCAGCAAACTAGGAGTAGAAGAGAATCTCCTTGACCTAATAAAGGGCATTACAAAAAAATCTTATAGCTGAATCATACATAATAATAAAAAATTGAGTGACTGCCCTCTAAGATCAGGGACAAGACAAGGATGTCTGATCTCTCTATTTCCCTATTCAGCATCATAGCCAAAGTTCTACCCAGTTCAATAAGGCAAGAAAAAATACTCAAAGGCATACAGTTTTGAAAGAAAGACATACAACTGTTCCAGTGTGCAGAAGACATGATTGTCAAGATATAAAAAGCCAAGAAATCTACAAAAAGCTCTTAAACTAGTAAATGGCTTCATTAAGATTTCAGGGCCTGGGAATTCCCTGGTGGCCCAGTGGTTAGGACTCGGCCCTTTCACTGCCGGGGCCCAGGTTTGATCCCTGGTCGGGGAACTAAAATCCCTCAAGCCATGTGGCCAGACCAAATAAAAAAATTTTTTTTTTAATTTAAAAAATTAGAAAAAAAAGATTACAGGACCTAAGCCCAAAATATAAAAACCAGTAATAGTTCTGTATACTGGCAATGAATGATTGGGAATTAAATTTGAAAAAAATTTAAAAACCACTATTACTTACAATAACTCAAAGAAAAACATGAAACATTTAGGTGTAGATCTAAAGAAAATATATACAAGATTTGTATGCTAAAATTGTAAAATGCTGATGAAAAAAAGCAAAGAAGGCCTAAATAAATGGAGAGGTATACTACGTTCAGGATTGGAAGACTCAATTTTGTAAAGATGTCGATTTTCCCCAAATGGATCTCTATACTTAATACAATCCTAATCTATACCTCAGCAGCACTGTATAGATATAAACAAGCTGATTTTAATATTTATGTGAGAAGTCAAAGGAATCAGAATAACCAAAACAATTTTACAAAAGAAGACAAATTTGGAGAACTTACACTATATGGCTTTAAGACTTATGATAAAAGTACAGTAGTCAAGATAATGTGGTACTGACAAAATAACAGATATATAGATCAGTGGAACAGAATAAAGAGTTTAGATATAGATCCACACAAATATGGTCGTCTGATTTTTTACAACAGTGTAAAGACAGTTCAATAGAGAAAGGTTATCCAGCAAGGGATTCTGAAAGTAACTGGACATCTATACACAAAGAAATTAATCTCAACTTATATCTCAAAACTTATATGGAAATTAATGCAAAATGGATCATAGACCTAAATGTAAAACTATACTTTTAGAAGGAAACAGGAGAAAATCCTTGGGAACTTAAATTAGGCAATATCTATATTTCTTAGATATAAAGAACAAACCACATAAGAAAAATTTGATCTATTGGATATCATCAAAATTTAAAACTTCTGCTCTGGGAAAGACATTGTTAAGAGAATGAAAACATAAGTTATAGACTTGGAGAAAGTATTCATAGATCACATACCCAATAAAGTTCTTATATCCAGAATACTTAAAGAATTTTCTAAACTCAAAAATAAGAAAACTTTAATTTTTTAAAATGGGCAAAAAATTTGAAAAAAGACTTCACCAAAGAAAACGTACGAATGGCAAACAAGCACATGAAATAAGGCTCAACATCATTCGTTGATAGGAAAATGCAAATTAAAACAAAATGAGATACCACTATACGCTTATTAGAATATATAGCTAGTGGTAATGTAAAATGGTATGGCCACTCTAGAAAATTTGGCAATTTTTATAAAGTTAAGCCTCCGCTTAAAACATGACCCAGTAGACTATCCAAGGTATTACCCTAGAGAAATTAAAACTCTTGATCACACAAACACCTGTGCATGAATATTTATAGAAATTATTCATAATTGCCAAAAACTGGAAATAATCAAAACGTCCTTGAATGAGTGACTGGATAAACAAACTCTGTTACAACAATCCAACAGAATTTTTCTCAGCAATAAAAAATGAGCAAAGACATTATGCTTAGTGAGAGAAACTGGACTTATAATTATATATACCATATGAATTCATTTATGTGACATTCCAGAAAAAGCAAAACTATAAGGACAGAGAAAAGATCAGTGGTCACCAGAGGTTAGGGGTGTGTGTTGGGTTTGACCACAAAGTGGAAATGTAGGGGGGACGTTTCAGGTGAGGGAACTGTTGTGTGTGGTAATCATGGCAGTAGTTGTACAACTCTATAAATTTGTCCAAACTCACAAAACCATACACAAGACAAAAATGGAATTTTATTGCATGTAAGTTTTTTAAAAGAAAGCTGACATGGCTATATTAATATTAGAAAATAAGAGCGGAAATCAATGACATGGAAAACAGAAAAACAATTAAGAATATAAATTTAACCAAAAGCCAGTTCTTTAAAAGGTTGGGAAAACTGATAAACCTCTTGCTAGATTGATCAAGAAAAAAAAAAGACATGAACTACTGACATCAAGAGCAACACTTGTTGTTCACTATAGATTTTACAGACATTAAAAGTATAAAAAGGAAATATGATGAACAACTTTATGCCAGTAAATTCAGAAATATACAAATTCATTGAAAGATATAAACTGCCTAAGTTGATAACTACTAATTGATAACCTGAATAGCCCCATATCTATTAATGATATTGAATTGGAAGGTGAGGGCTTTCAGATTAAAACTAAATAAAACAAAAATAAACAAACAAAAAACTCCAGGCCTAGCTGGCTTCACTGGTGAAATCTGCCAAAGATTTATAAAAGAAATAAGACCAACTCTACTCAAGCTCTTCTGGAAAACAGAAAAGAAGGAAGCACTTCCCAGTTCATTTAATTATTTTATAATTTTAAAAACACCAGATGGAGGGACTTCCCTGGTGGTGCAGTGGTTAAGAATCCACCTGCCAATGCAGGGAACATGGGTTCAATCCCTGGTCTGGGAAGATCCCACATGCCACGGAGCAACTAAGCCCACGAGCCACAACTACTGAGCCTGCGCTCTAGAGCCCATGAACCACAACTACTGAAGCCCGTGTGCCTAGAGCCCGTGCTCCACAGCAAGAGAAGCCACCACACCGCAACGAAGCATAGCCCCCGCTCGCTACAACTAGAGAAAGCCCGCGTGCAGCAGCGAACACCCAACACAGCCAAACATAAATAATAAATAAATAAATTTATATTAAAAAAAGTCAAACATTAAAAAAAAAAACGACCAAATGGAGAGCAGTGCCCTCATTACTTACAAGGCCGCCAAATCAAAATCATTGCCCAAGAATTCCTCCAGCAGACTTGTATCCAGCGTCGGGTTCCCCAGAGTGCCACTGGCCCCTTGAGCTGCAAAGGCAAATTGAAAATCTTGAGATTCATGAATTTTTCAGAATGGCTAATCGCTAAAATTTCAAAGCAACTAAATGGCATAATGCATTTATTGACAGTGTGGCCTTTCTTCCATTCAAATATTTCCTTCAGAAATCTTTTTAGATGTTACCCTCCTCGAGCAGCCTTCCCTGACTGTCCAAGGCAGGTTTAGGTGCTTTTTTATGTGCATTCATTAACACCATGTACTTTGCCTTATACACTATTATAATTGCTTGCTTTTGTGTTTATTCCTCTATCTAATATCTTTAAGGGCGAGGACTGTGTCTTTCTTATTGTATCTATGCTATGAAAAAGGCAGCAATTAACATTTATTGGCTAGCTGGCTGGCTGGCTGGATGAATGGATAGACTGATGATTGGCATGTTGGTCTGACAGATTACTTCCAGTTAAGTTCAACAAGAAGTTCAATATCTTGCTTCACATTTTTGTTAGACTTCCCAAAATGCAACACAATAGTTCTGTCCTTTTTCTTGATTTACAAAATGAAAATAAGCTTATTGGTTTCTTTCTGACCAGAACAAAGACACCAGAATTTTTAAAGAATATAAAATACAGGGACTTCCCTGGTGGTCCAGTGGCTAAGACTCTGCGCTCCCAATGCAGGGGGCCCAGGTTCGATTCCTGGTCAGGGAACTAGATCCCACATGCCGCAACTAAGAGTTCACATGCTGCAACTAAAGATCCTGCATGCTGCAACTAAGACCTGGTGCAGCCAAATAAATAAATAAATATATAAATAACAAAAAAAGAATATAAAATATAAAAATATGCTATAAAGAAGACAAAACAATCTTTCTTTGCAGATAACATGACTCTATACCTAGAAAATTCAAGAGAAACAACTGACGATTAGAAATGATCAGAAAAGTCAATAAAATAAATGGTTAAAGTTAAATATAAAAACTAATTACTTTTGTATGTATAAAAAATAACCAGTCAAAAATTCAGATAAATATAATGAAAAAAAAAGAAGATTCCATTCAAAATAACAAAAAGCCTAAAATATCTAAACATATATTTAGGGACAACATATCTTTTTAGAAAGCTAATAAACTCTATGAAGGGTCATAAGAAGAGATTTCAATAAATGGAAAGAACTTCATTGTTCTTAGACTGAAAGATTCAATATTGCAAAGCTTTTACTAGACATTATTTATGATGTCTGCCAAATACACAGTCATTTTCTGAGAACTTTCCCCTTATAAAAACAGTCTCCTGCAACCTTTACAGGCACTTGAATCAGAAAGAAAAAATCCATTGGTTGGCCAGTGACCACTTCAGTTATTTCTCCCAAAATTTAAACTAATAAACTTTAAAGCTGGTGGTTGAGATTAAGTCACCTAATAGCTAAGGCAGAGGACAGGAGTGATAGTCTAAATATTTCTGCCAGGTCCTTTACCCAGGTCCTTCATGATTTTTTACCCTTAATAAGGCTGGTTGTTCCCCTTCTACTCTAATTACATGACAAAGTCCTGTATACATCCAATAAACCCTTTTGAATTGGTTTGTATGTTATCTGAAATCAAATAATCCTCAAGGAAAATGTTCTGAAGTTCATCTGGAAAAATAAATACATAAAAATGACCAGAAAAATGAGGGAGGAAGGGGGTAAATAAGTACTGAGAAACACACAAGTGAACACATCAAAGGAACACAAACAAGTCCAGGATATATCAAGAAATATTACATATATATGGAACATATATTTTATACTTATATAAATATTATATATATATACACACACACGATAGATGCATGATAAGCATATCCTTTGACACTAGTGAGGAAAGATTCATTATTCAATAAATGTTGTGGGGAAAATTGATTATATATTTGGGAGAAAAAAAACCTGGATCATTTTCCTGCTTCCACACCAAATCTGCAGATAGATCAAAGATTTCAACATAAATAAATGAAACCATAGAAAGAAAACATCAGTGACTATTCTTATGATCTTGACATAAAGAAGGTTTTCCCAAGCATGGCATGAAAGCCAAAAACTATTTTTAAAAAAAGATTGATAAAATTTTACTTTATCCTTTTTTTGAGGGGAGAAGAATGTTTCACATTTTACTTTGAAATAATTTCTATCCTAAAGAGAAGCTACAGGGTTTCCCTGGTGGCGCAGTGGTTGAGAGTCCGCCTGCCGATGCAGGGCACACGGGTTTGTGCCCCAGTCTGGGAAGATCCCACATGCCGCGGAGCGACTGGGCCCGTGAGCCATGGCCGCTGTGCCTGCGTGTCCGGATCCTGTGCTCCGCGACGGGAGAGGCCACAACAGTGAGAGGCCCGCGTACCGCAAAAAAAAAAAAAAAAAAAGAGAAGCTATAAGAATACAAAGGAAGTCACATATACCCTTCACTCATATTCATCATTATTAACATTGTGCTACATTTGCATTATTCTTTCTGTCTCTGTCTTGTCTCTCTGTCTCTCTTTCTCTCTCTCTCTCTCTCTCTCTCTCTCTCTCTCTCTCACACACACACACACACACACACACAAAACACAGTGATACACACCTACCTATACATACCATTCTGAACCATTTGAGAACAAGTGCCTTTACCCATGAATACTTCAGTATATATTCTTAGGTACAAAAACATTATCTTCACAACCACAGTTAAATTATCAAAATCTGAAAACTTAACATTGACACAGTTTTATTGTACAATCTACATTCCATATTCAAATCTTGCCAATTGTCTCAATAACGTCATTTATAGCATTTTTTTCTGGTCCAGAATTTAATCCAGTATAACATAGTACATGTAGCTGTCATGCCCCTTTAGATTTTTTTTTGAAGTGTGTAGGCTAACTGTTTTACAGAACGTCTCTCAATTCTTGTTTGCCTCATATTTTCTCAAGGTTAAATTCAAGTTTTGTATGTTTGGCAAGAATATTACACAAATGATATTATGTCTCTCTTAGTGCCTTATATCAGGAGGATCATAGTGTCTCATTATTGATGTTAATTTTCATCCCTTGGTTAAGGTACTATCTGCCAACTTTCTCCACTATAAAGTTACTACTATTCTTTTTGTAATTTGTGGCAAGATACTTTGAGATTGTGCAAATATTTTGTTCCGCATTAAATTTTTATCTAATAGTTTTAGTATCCATTGGTGATCATAAGCATTTTAATCCGTGAAAAAAGTTAAAGACCAAGTGAGGAATATTTTCAATATACATGAAAAAGAGTAAATATCCATAATATCCAAAATGTTCTTTCAAATCAATAAGGTAACAGCTACACCCCAACAGAAAACAGTAAAGGGCTTTAAAAGGCAGTTCATAAAATAAAAAATCAAATTGGTTAATAAATGCACAAAACATGTTAAACATTAGTAAGAAACAGAATTTAAAATATGAGAAAATTTTCTTTTTGCCTACCAAATTGGCATATATTCAATGAATTAATAAAATCCATTGTTAATGCTGATGGAAATAAGATAACCCTCTTATGCACTGCTGATAGGAGTATATATTAAATAATCTGTCTGAAAAGTGTTTAGCATATGTTTCCAAAAAAAAAGAATGTGCATGTATACTTTGATCCAGAAATTCCACTTAATACACTTACGATAATACACTTAATAACAGAAAATTGAGAATAAATGACCCTTTTTTTTTTTAACATCTTTATTGGAGTATAACTGCTTTACAATGGTGTGTTAGTTTCTGCTGTATAACAAAGTGAATCAGCTATATGTATACATATATCCCCATATCCCCTTCCTCTTGCGTCTCCCTCCCACCTTCCCTATCCCACCCTTCTAGTGGGACACAAAGCACCGAAATGACCTCCCTGTGCTATGCAGCTGCTTCCCACTAGCTATCTATTTTACATTTGGTAGTGTATATATGTCAATGCCACTCTCCCACTTCGTCCCAGCTTACCCTTCCCCCTCCCTGCGTCCTCAAGTCCATTCTCTACATCTGCATCTTTGAGAATAAATGACCATTAATTGACATTCATTCAATGAAATATCAATACTCTGCAGCCATTTAATAAATTCTACAGCGTTTCAAGAGAAGGTGGCTTGCAAAATCTTATACCCACCCAATTTGTTTTTAAACGTAAAGGCAACAGACAATTCCAAAATTTAAAAGTTCAGGGTATAAAGCCCCCATGACTTCCTCTTGAAAATAATTCCTTGACAGTGAAATTCAGCCAAGCAAAACATGAATCAAAATAAAGAACTCAGAAATTTAGAAATCAAAGAGGAAAAACTATGATGAACAGTGAATTCATATAAATATAGGATTTAAACTGAATACCTGAGGGAATTATGGTTGCAGATCAAAATGTAAAAGTAATAAACCCTTAAAAAGGAAAAAATATCAGCAACAAAGATTAGAAGGTAGGGAGAGGGAAAATGGGAAGAGATGTGGTATTAATCACCTTATTATTCATATCTCAGAGTTCATCTTCATTACCCTAAACCTGCACCATTTAGTAAAAAAATAACTATTCCAACTTTGTAGTAACTTTTAAATCCCCTTTCTTAATCTTGGAAGACTCCTTTAGAACTGATATCTCTAACAGTAAAGAAATAATTATTTAAATTCTGTAATTCCTTCAGTTTCCCTTCTTTTTATCCCATTAAATTCAACTAAAATTAATATTTTATATTATATTTAATATTTTATTTAAATAGTGCATGGGAGCTAAGATCCATTTCTTACTAAGTTATTTCTACTATCTAATTATCCATCCTTCTATCTGTAGCTATTCATAGAAAGATGATGAAATAATATTCCACCATAGTTGACACTAGTTAGATGGTAGAATGTAGAATGAGTTATCTCTTTTTTTTTAAATCCCTATTATACACTTTGGAAAATTATTTTGCACAATTTTGAATAAAATGATTTTCTAAAAAAGTAGGAAATCAAATTGCTAAAATAAACGAAAAAATATAGAAAAAGTCTAAACTGACAAACCCTGGAGT